ATGAAAAGACCAAGCTGCAGATAGATGTCATTTGAACACTTTCCTTTTGGTTGGGTTCTTGATGTGACTTTTGTGAGTGCCAATGCAGGATCAGTCATGTGACATCCAAAGTAAAAAATCCTAAAAGCAAACTAAACAAAATCAAAATAAGTTTAGTTTCATAGATACAATTTTAACTGTGATTGTTGCCATTGAACATACCTCTTCCAGCATAAAAGTAGAAGTTTAGTGTGCACGAGCGCTTTCAAAACTGTTAAAAACAAATGTACAAACTTTTTGATGTTCAGTATTCAGGAGAATATTAAAAATGTTTGTCCAGTCAAGAATGGCCTGGATTCAATGCCCAGAATGCTAATTTGCCTTTACAGTATTCATGTACAAACTCCTGTCAAAATTTCTCTGTGGTTTGTTCCTTTGGGCTGAACATCTGCTCAACATCATACTCCTCATATGAGAACTGTATTAGCAGATGTTTAAGCACAGTCTTTCAACAAGAAATGAAAAAGCTCTAAAGCAATTGAAAAAATGATTTCTACAGCACTCACTTTAAAGGCTGGAGAAATCCTTACCTGTGTTGATGGGAAGGCCAGGTGAGAGCACTGTGAGTTTAAGGGGTCACAGTCCAAGCCAACAGAAAAGAGGCAGAAATTCAACCAGCTCTCAATTTCTCTGATTTCTCCATCTTGCTCTTGAAGGGAAGAACATTACTTTGGGAGCAAAATAATAAAGACGTGCTAATTAATTACCTTGTAATTAAAATTGAGCCAATTACTAGTAAAATCAAGTTCTGTAGCAATTATCTAACAATTTAATTTACAAGTCATTTTATGAAGGCTGAGTATAAAATTAATTAGAAAGATCTTAATGCCTTTTAGTTTTGAACATAGTTTTAGAATAAAAGATGTGCTGCTGCCTAGAACCCTTGAGACCTGTCTAAAAAGAACTGCATGTTCTGCTAATGATTCTGCTATTGAATCTGAGCCTATAGAAGGTACACTGATGTGTGCTTGCACCCTTAGTCTTTGTTCTTGAGGATCTGGCTATTCAAAGTTCTGCTCTGCTACTTGAATAGCTCCACTTTTGTATAAAGTTAAGCAGACAGGCATGGATACTTCAGCTCTCTGATATCTTGAAAAACAGAAAGTGAATAAAAGACAGATCTGCAGTCTGTCTGCTGCTTATTTTTGTACTTAGTTCACTTTTCTGCTACAGCTTTGATTTTCAGTGTTATCTTTTGAATTACTTTTTAAGAGAAAAAAAAACAGTTCTGCAGGTAATGGTTGCATATAAATGCATTGGTTGTGCATTTATGGTGAACATATGAACTCAGTGCCTTTACTTGTGTTACAAGCAAAAACTTATATTGGTAACAATAAAAATGTAGCCTAGTATTGTAGTTTCTGGTTTGTCTACTTTGCAATTTATTATGGGCAGTGACTTTAGATGTGTTGCAGGGTGTCAAGAGAAACACAGAAAATACTTATTATTGATAAAGTTTGATGAGTTCTGATTTCTTTTTTTTATAATTAGGTTATGCACTGTCAGCTGTAAACCCTGCATAGAAATGCTAATTTGTTGAATAAAATGCTTTCATTACTGTTTTTAAAAATCTAGAAAACCTTTCTACTGCCCATAACTTTCATCATCTTACTTTCTTTCAGATTTTTAAGAATATTTTCTATGTGGGTCCAAGCAGAAAGGATAGAAATCTAAGAATTCTAGTAATTGTTAGAGGGCAGAAGAGCACACACAACAACATAGCCTCTGAGATTTCCATTGGGAAAATGACCATAGGCTAAAAATGAAAGGTGGCTCTCAGATTGCATAAGTTGGTTTTTTTGTTTGTTTATTTGTTTATTTCCCCACAAATAGATTAGTTAAAAACCTTTCATTCTTTTTTGCCTTGCAAATGCAGTAGTACCCCTGACATTCAAGGAGAGAGTAATTTAATTTATTTAATTTGCTATGCTGTCTTAATCAGGGACTTACTGCAGCAAAATCTGACATTTTTATCTAGACCATATTATGTAAAGTAATGAGCTGGGGGACCAGGTTCATGTTACAGCTGTTGACAGCTGATGCTTTTCAGTAAGTCATGCAGCAGCAGACGTTCCCAGCGTTCTGCTGAGCCACTGCTGCAAGGGTGACAATGTGTAACAGTGGAGGTTGGAAAGATAAAACTGAAGTTGACATGAAAAGCGTGTGACAAAGGAGCCCTATAACTGGGGTACCTCTAACTGGAAAATCTGTGAGAAAGCTGTTCAGCTTTGGCTGATATCCAACAAGAGTTAGCTTATTCTTTTTATTGAAGATGAAGTGGATGAACACTTCTCAAAATTTCCAGTGGAAGGCTCATAGTGAACAGGAACCATTGCAAGTTTGCATGATTTTAAAATTTACTGTATATTCTAGTTCAGTTTAGATCTATATCTACTGTTTTGTGCTTTTTGTGCCCTTGAAACGCAAGGCTAATAAACAGGGCATGATCTCTTGCAGGTACCTTTGCAGTGTAAAATGCAATAAGTTGTTGTTGCCCAATACCTGTGATAACGTGATAGCTGCAATTAGAAACACAGAGATTGTTCTTGTTGTGCAGCCCTGAATCAATAAATGGTGTTGACTTTATAGTGAGTTCAGCAAGCTATGTTGAAGCCAAGAAACATGCAGCAAAGTGAAGCAGTGTCAGCATTAGTTATGTCCAGTGCTATTTGCAGCTTTTCTAGATCATCACTTCACTTAGAAACTTATGGGAATACAGCCCAGAGCACAGGAGTTATGTGCTCATTGTGACCTAGCCAGCTTAATTAACATGGCTGCATTTCCTACAGCACAGAGCTCCTGAAAGCACTCTGTTAAGCATAATGTGTTACAGTAATCCATTTTAGGGTGACAACAATTTCTATTCTTCTGCCAAGATGTCTACTGAATTGAAAATCGTCATTCCTAAGGCAGGGGTCACAGTGGCACTGCAAGCCATACAAAAGCATAATTATTTATGCTAGTGTAATGAGGCTGATGAAAGTAGAACTTACTGCCAAAAAGCTTTTTACAGGTTGTCTGTACTATTCTGAGTAGGAGCAACTTTTGATTCTGCACTGGCTCTCCAAATCCTGCCCTTTCTTCAGCCCTTGTTTTGGGCCTTTGAGAAGTTTATTTTAAGAGGACAAGAAAATTCATATCTTCAAATGGATTCTGTTGATTTCTGTCTCTGAATCTATTTTAGTTCAGACTGATATCTTCTTCAGGTCCTGTGATAAATCTCGGAAATAATAGAAAAAAACTCAGTAAGGCCCTATTGGTTTCCAGTGATTCATTCAAAGAACATATTTAAAAATCAGGAAATAAAAGAAAAAAAAGAGAACAAGAGAGCAAGGGGAGTCTTTGGAACACATATTGCCCATTTTACCTGGTTGCCAGGGCATTTTCATGATAGATAAATAATAGCAAGGTAATTGTTGGTGAAGAACTTGATGTTAAAGTAAATTCCTTAGCCTGTTTTCTACTTGCTAGTGCTGCAATTCATAGTACAATTTTAAATTAACTATGGTGTTCCCATTTGGGTTCTGAACAGCGGGTTAGAATTGAATGATATTATGAATTTAAATGATATGCACTTCTCTTTTTATCTCTTACTTCTCTATTCAACATCCATGCCATAGAGCACAAAGACAGCTGATGTCGTTTACAATTTGAATTTGTAGACATTTATAACTTCAGGAGTAACAGAGATCAGATGTTCCTTTATCCAAACAGGGAGTCAAATTGCCCATTATAAAGCTAGAGATCATTCTTATAAATTAAATGGCAGCCCTGGAATGCACAGATGTGATGCAAATCAAGATTCATGTTGTACATGCAATTAGTCTGTACATTGTCCTTGGAAAAAAATAAGGGAACAAAAGCAAATTTCAGTGTAAATATTATCCCACTTTTCTTAAACTACCTCTTAGTGATCTTTTATCATGCACTGAATTCTTATTCTCTGTCAACTCACTATGCTTTCTTTTTCAGTAAAGAACGGTTGTGTTATGCAACATTACTATGTAGATCCTGGCCTGGTTTTGTAGGTCTATTTTGAGAAAATACATCTGAATAAAACTACATTTTTGGTGATGCTATGTCTTCCCCCAGCAGTTTACATTCCATCTCTATTTATATGACTCAGTTTTACACTTTGTGTTTTTGGCAGATGGAGGAATGATTTTCTTCACTTTTTTTATATGGTGAAGAGTTTTGCAGAAGCTATTTTAGAAATATCAGGCAGAGGAGTCTTTGATTTGTTTACCTAATGTATGCATCACATATAAAAGGCAACGTCCTTCCACTGCAGATGATAATAATTAGAGTTGTTCCAAATGGATTTATGCCAACACAAAATCCTCTATCACGATCAGCTGTAACAGGAACCTCAGCTGGCAGAAGCAGTGAAAGCAATAAAGATTAAATGACTGTGTGAACGGTTCCTCCAAATTAAAATGATGTACAGTGACAAAAAAATAAGAGAACTCACACCAGTGTTACCTCTGACACTTTTTTCTGTTCTGGTAATAATGAAAGAAAATGCTGTTGTCTGGAACTCCCGGTATGTTTCACCTGATACAGATTCACTCCCATTAATGATTAGAATCTGAGTATCCATCTCAAATTACAAAAGCCCACAGGTGACTGTCAAATGCCTGAAGATAGGAAAAACCTTTTGAAAAATGTTGATTTTTGGAGGCATCTGGCAGTAAGATGCCAGTTGCTGTTTGCATATATACTTTCAAAAAATCCCCTTGGAAATTGCATTAAATTATATGCTAGAAATCATTATTGTTCAGGGTAGAAAGTCTTCCATGAGCTACAAAAACTCTGCAAAATAATATTCATAGCAATGCTTCCATAGTATGGAATATGATATTGTTCTAGAGCAGGTTATTATCAAAGCTGTAATAACATCAAAACGTCCCAATATTCATGAACTATTGCTGAATTGTGCAAAAAAAAACTTGTAAAAACAAACAAATGAGAAAAAACAATGCAATAAGGATTTGGAAAGTATTTTATTGTATAATGTTAACTGTTTGAATACAGTACAGATGAGCTTACGTTTCTTTAGATGATTCACAGTTTATTGTCTCACAGTGGCCTATATGACACAATTCTAAAATACAAATTCTTTCCCACAGTTTATATGAACCTCTAGAAATGTACTAAACAGGAATTGTTTTTATGCTTTAGAGTTGTCCAAACATAATCTTTTGAATTCACAAACACAAGAAGAATTCTGATTTGTAGGTCAGAGTATGCAAAAAAGCACAGCTGTTAACCATGACCTTGGGGAGGCTTTGTAGCTGGTTGTGTCACAACATCTTTGTAACATGTTGCACTTTGTGAAAAGACATGGCTCGATCTCTGGATTTCTATTACATTCCTTGTATTCATTACTGACAGAATTAAATCTTGAAAGTCAATCCAGATGAAGTGCCAATTCTCTCCCAGTCATTCTGAAAACATAGAACAACCAAAAGGCAAAAGCTTTGCAAATACACAGGGAGCTACACGAAGTTTTGTTAACAGCTTTAATATAGGCATAAATAGGTATGTGCCAGATTTATCGGTTTGGATTCTTCTGCAGCAAGGTTTTCATGACTCGGGCATTTTCTTTGGTGTTGAAAGATAAAAGCTTCAGTGTAAGTAGACATCTGATGCCATGCTCTTGACTGTGGTTAGACATTCCAGGGATAATAGTGTGCTAGAAAGCAAGGCTAGTGAAAAAAGGCCAAATCCAAATAAGAAGTATCTTCAGGTAAATGTAAGCTCTGGCTGCAGGGCAGAATCACTTGCTTTGGACCTTGCTCAGGTCACAAAGCAAACACCTCTCTTCACAAGAAAACTAATGTGACCTGTTAGCAGCAACATATACTGAAGCCAACAGCTAGCTGCCCCAGCAACACATCAGGAGGCTAAGCCCTTGCAGAGTTGTTTGTTCAAGCTCAGGGAAGCTCACAGTGAGGAGTAACAGCTGATGCTATTTGTCTGCTGCATTGGAAGGGCTAGCCTCTGTAAGATCATGCAAAGAACCGCCAGTCAGCGGAACAATCTCTTTAAATAGCTAGACTCAGCTAAGGGGAGGGGAAAGAGGGGAGACTTGTGTTTTATTGACTGTGAGAACTGAGCTTATGGAAGAATTTAAAGATAATGTATCCTTTATAGAGGAATTTATAAAGCATATGCAGTCAGCCTGATTTATTTGCTGAGGCGTGACTGATTTTTAAATTAATGAATAGCAAATAGGTAAAAGTCATGGTAACACATTAATTATAACACAGGACTTGAAAACTGCAGGCCACAGTAGCCCACAGATGGAATCTTTCAGAACTCTTTCAGACAGTCTTGCCAGGCTTCTTTGAAATTCCCAAAGCCACTGAAAGGTATTTACAGGCTTGAGAGTAGATGGGAAAATTACATTGCTTCCAAAAAAGGAAAACAAAGAAATGAGAAACGAGATACAAACAACAAGCAACAAAAATCCGCATTTTCTCATTGGCTGTCATACCAGGCCTTCAACCCTGGAGAGATGTAAGAAGCTGAACATTACAGGTTTCAATTCACCAGCATGGACAAAAGCCTAACAAACTAAACATATTATTTAGAGGTCTGTTTCTGCTAAAGCTGACAAGAGAACCAGGTTGAAGATGAGCCATAACATCAAGATACGCCTTTCCAATACCAACTGCTGTAATAAGGTATTCATAAGAGCAGGAATTCCTTAAAAGAACTGTATGCTGAAGAACAGGACAGAGTATTCCTGATTCATTTCATTCCAGAACTGCAATATACATATCTGCATAGATCACTTGAAGTCTGTAATTAATGTTTTATACAGTGAAAAAGAGATCAGTATAAAAATACTGCTCTGTCATTCTTTATCCATACTGTGAAAAAAGCAGAGTTTATTATAACAGGAAATAATACTTTATTATAAAATCTGCATGTAAACAAGTAACAAATTAATTGAATAACAGGTAATGGAAGTGCAAATTAACTTCATAAAATGATATCTGTTCCATATTCAACTATACATATATATATTTATAAATGTTTTCCTTTCATTCTAATGTGGTTCTACTTCCTCCCACCCCACATTTAAATTTAAAAAGATTTATCATTGCTTACTTTATACTAAAAAGAGTGTACGAGCCTGCGTACGAGTTTAAGTTTTGCTCTGCAAATGAGGCAAGTCTGTGGTGATACTTATCATCCTTTCTTATCTTTGCATCTCTGGTATCCACAGGACAAGAGGATGTATGTAACATATATACATAGTGAAAATGTGGGCGTATCAAGCCACTTAATTAAAGTTAGTTCATTTACTTGTATACATTGAAACAAACCATTCATCAATGAAGCCAACATTGTAAGGTAACTTCCAGACTTGCTTGTGCACCTTAAGGCATTAATGAGAGTCTCAATTGATAAGTCATTGTTTTATCACCATGAGGATCATCCACATATTTCTCAACAGCCAAATGCTTGTTCACCTCCAACATGGCAACATCTGACATTGCTGGAAGCTTCTAAAGCACAGATAAGTCATGGCAAGACTTAGATTTTGCTTTGAAAGCCATCTTCTTGTTATTCTTTGCCACAATTCTCCCAAGAAATCGCTTTGCCTTTTTGCCAATGCTTTCTCTTCTTTTTGTGTTGGCCATTCTCCTAGCGTTGTCTTCTTTACTGTCTTTGCGAAGCCTGATTTGCCGAACAATACCTTCAAACAGGTCCTTGACATTATGATGAAGAGCAGCTGAGGTCTCAATGAACTTGCAGTCAAACACAACAGCACAGGCCCGTCCCTCTGTATGGAAAGCAAAGAAAGGAGATGAGTGGAGACTGACATTTTCTCTTTACATATTCTAGCAGGAAAAAAAAATGGGTTAGCTTAAAAAGAAAGGAAAGTGTCTTCAATACCAAAGAGCTTTATTACACAACAGCAAATTATAATATTTGCAGTCATGGTTTTGTCCCCTTACTTTTCACTCTTTTCACTTTTCTGTGGTGTGTTCAGAAGTCTCACTTGACCAGCAGTGCCGACTGTAAGGCAAAAATAGCCCTATAGGTAGACCATTCCAGTATCATTTAAGATCTCTAGCTGATTTAAGGGAGGGACTTGATGCATGCTTGCTGTTTGATAGGAAAGATTGTGAGGTATAGAAAGAAAAGCTAGTTATTGCTTCTTTTGGAAGTTATTGAGCAATCACACACCTCAGCCTAGCTGTAAGAATTGAGAGTCTTCCACATCAGGCACAGATAAAGCTGATGCAGGTCAAAAGGTCAGGTCAGTATATAGGTGACAGCAGAGATCATAATGTTGCCTACTAATGGATCTGATTAGGTCTGCATTCAAAATAGACATTGCTGTGTCCCCAGTGTTCCAGAGGTAAACATGTAGCTAGCCCTGGAACATTGCTGCTTAGCAAATTTCCATGTCCACCTTGTGGCCAATAATGACAAAGCTGCCAGCATGAGTAAAACAATGTCACTTCTAGGACAGGTGAACTATGCACTGCCACCAGCCTGCAAGGAATGAGAATCTCCTGATGAACTCCAATCAATTCCCTGTGCAGCCATTTAACACAAGAAGTATGCCAGAACCAGACAGCAAGAAATGGTTCTTCAGCATCAAGACCAGTATGCTTACTAGTGGAAGGAAAAACAAATTTAAAATACATGAAATCAATACTTGGCAATTGTTACTGTACTCAGTTGCTGAAACGCACAATGGAACAGAAAATTCTCATTGACCACAGATGTAGATGACATACAAAAGCCTGTGTGAACTTAGTCTCTCCACCTCACCTCAAACGTGATGGAATCACTTCTAGAGGAAAGGGCTGTATTGTTACTGTGGGATCACCATCATCAAAGACTGCCTGGGTTCTATGACGTGTGGCACTCCTGTCCCTTAAGAAGGCTATCAAATCCTGAGACTAGCAACTGCTAGACTGCACATTACATGCAGTAAAACTGCAGCTTCAGCCCTGTAGCTCTGAAGCTGCATGTCTCCTGTACTGCAGTTCAGAGCCCAGCTCTATGTATGAGTCTTTCCTTTCTGTTTTCCGTGATGCAGAGTCCCCATTGTGAACCAGCTGGCTTGATTTCTCTGGTGTGCCTCCAGTCATACATTTTTCTACACCAAACCCGGACCATCACTGTTGATCACGATCCTCTGCTGCCTTTGCTACTAATAATTTAGACATTCTTGTATAAATGAATAGTATCTTACCATCAACTGAGACTTCCCGAGACCTGACCAGGTCACTCTTATTGCCCACAAGAATAATAGGAATGTCTTCTGTTTGTCTTGCTCTTCTCAGCTGGATCCTTAGTTCGGAGGCTTTTTCAAAACTAACTTTGTCTGTCACTGAATAGACAATGATGTAGGCGTCTCCCATCTTCATACAGTGGTTCTGAAGCCATTGGCTGTCATCCTAAAACAAAATGAGGCAAATAGATTTACTGCATTGAAAAAGATATTCAACACAGTCTAGTTAATGATTTAAGTATTGTAAACACCTGAGAGATATTTTTGTTAGCTTTATCTATTTACAGATAGCAAAAGTAAACCAGCCCACAAGAAGTTTTCTAAAATCTTCTAGTTTCTAGAAATAATACCAGGTCTGCACCGATCGGATCGTCAGTGTCTAATTTTACAGGAATTCCCCAGGGCTGCCAATGTAAGCTTTATTCAAAGCACTGAGGGATTCGCAGCCCAAGCCGAGCCAGGCTTCTGAACTGCTTGTCCAGCTACAAGAAAATGATTGCAAGGGAGAATGAAGGCAGCATGATTTCCTTTCAGTGCTACCCATCTGACAATAAATAGCCAGACAGAGTTGTTCCATTGCTACACATTTTTGGAGCAAACTGCCGACCGCTCCATAAAGAAAAAGCATCTTCGAGCTGCAAGTACCTGTTCCCAGATATCGAACACCACGAGAGACGCTTCTTCTCCATCGACCACAATCGATCTGTCGTACGTGTTTCCTGGAGGGAAGACAGTGTTCGTTAAAGCGCCGTCACCCCACACCCGGACGCCCGGACGCCCGCCGCGCCCCGTGCCGCTCCTGCCTGGGAGCCTCGCACCGCCCGCGCCCTCACCGGCTTCCTCCGCCTCCGCGCCGTCCTCTACGCCGCCGAAGATGCGGGCCAGGCTGGTCTTGCCGACGCCGTGTTCGCCCAGCAGGATCACCTTGTAGAGGCTGCCATCCGAGTCGCTGCCCGAGGAGATGACGGAGTCGGAGGAGTCGGAGGCCCAGCTCTCCCGGTGCGCCTCGCCGGGGCTGTACGAGGTGCAGCGCACCAAGCCCGACAGCTCGTCCTGCGGCAGGGCGGCCCGCAGGTCCCGCTCGTCCACCGGCATGCTGCGCCGGTGCAGGTGCTGGTGTGCGGAGAACGGCATGCTGCCGCGCCGCTTGTCCAGGTAGCGCAGCTTGTCGCCGCGGTTCAGAGTCATGGGGACGCCGGGCTGCGAACGCGGAGGAGAGAAGAGCCGTCAGAGCCCCGCGCTCCGGTCCCGTGCCGCCGGGGAGCGCCGCCGGATCCCGCCCGCCTTACCTCGCCGCTCGGAGGGAGGCCAGGAGGGATTCCCCGCGAATGCTGCTGCCGTCGCCGCCTCGCCTCTATTTATGGCTGTGCCTCCCGGCCCTCCCCGCCGTGACGCGCGCCGCGCGGCTGCCTGCCAGCGCCCGTGGGTTGCCGCGTCCGCCCACGGAGCCTCAGCGCGCAGCGAAGCGGCACGGCGCGGCGGGGGCGGGGAGCCCGTCGCGGGGAGCCCCGGCGGGGGCCGTCCCCCCCCCCCCGCGTCCCTTCCCCCCCTCCGGAAGAGCCGCCGGTGCCCTCCGCGACGGAAGGGAAGGGAACCCCGCGTCGGTGGGGAACCCCGGTTGTGCCCGGCCCCGCCCGGGCTTTGCTTTCCCGAGGCTGAGCCGAGGGGAAACTGAACACCGTGCTGGCGGTGTACGCGGGCAGGTTTCCTCAGCTCGTTGTGCCCTATGCCTTGGCTCAGGAGCCGTATTGTCTACAATATTGTTAGGAAGAACGTTTGCAAGCGTGCAAAATTTGCATCGCTTCGTGCTTGGATTACTTAATGTTCAGGAGAGGGTGAGGGGAAAAGCCCCCTTGCTAGATCCTGTGATGGCACGACACAAACGCTTGCTGCATGCCGCGTTAACGGTTTCAGAGGCCGATTTAAAACATAAAGGTCAAATTCTTCCCTTGATTTCACCTGAGCAGCAAAAGTGAGGTTATGAAGGTTTTATCTTAAGTAGCACAGTCATTACCGTGTGATCAAGTGAGGAAAGGGCCGAGCAGATAGCTACGCTGGCTTGCTGAATGGCTCACCGCGGCACCGTGCACACAGTTTATTGTTTTCTTAGCAACCGCGACGCGGTGGACATCTTACAGCCAAAATAGCCCTGGCTCCAGCTCCCAGAAGATTACAGCCTGGTCAGTGCGGGAAAATCCCTGTGACTTTGTGTAGGGGCCTTTGCCATCAGATTAGTAAATGCTTAAGGTAATAAATCAGCAGCTGAAACAAGGTTAAAGAAGGCAAGGAGATAGGGAGGTGATGGAAAGTAATAAATGGACATAGAGAATCAGGTAAAGGAAAGAAGGTCTCTGGGGCTGGGCTGCACAGTTGCATGGACACCAAATACTGCACAACAACTGAGAAACATCTTTTCCTTATAACGTTCACTTTGTGAGGCTACTTAACTGCGACAAGAGAAAAACATAAATGCTCTAAAAGATCTGGCTGCAGGGAATAGATTTTTTTTTCCTATGAAAACGAGCGAAAGTTTTGTTATTTTCAGGAGCTAATTATAACTCCAGTCCATGCTCTTGAGATGGCTTTGACCCCTTTGCCCTGATAACTGCAGTTTAAAGTGTTAATGTGGCAGTTAAAGATCACGGAGTGCTTGCAGCACTCCTCTGCCTGTCCCTCAGAATAGCACCGAAATAGCCGTGTCAGTTCCAATCGTCGGTCTGGTTGTTAGAAGTGGTGAGTGCTTCAGTGAAATGAACAGAACGCATTGCCGTGGTTTACATTTTAAATCATATTTAAACAAATTAGCAATAGTATTTGAAATGCACGTTGGTTACTTAATTTGGATTATCTGAAATCTACCAAACCACCTCGATTAATCTGTGTTTTAATGCAGCCAAGTGGGTAAATATACTTCCAGAAATGTTTTTTCTTCAGTTAACTTTAGAACATTGAATATTCCTGCCTAAAATTCTCACCTGGAAATACTCTGAGTGGGACCAGCCCGTCCTGCTGGCTTCACTGTGTGTAGGGTCAAATTTTAGAAGTGTAAGAAGGAAAATCTGGGGAGCATCAGAACTAAAGATATTGTGCTGCTTCTATGGCATGTGTAGCATTACTGATCGAAACCGAGCTAAAAAATGAGAGCCATTTTTTATTCCAGCTCTTTTGCTGATGAACATCATGAATGTTTTAATGATGTAAATGCAAGATAGAGCCCTCACAACCAAAACTAAAACTAAAAAAAAAACCACAACCAAAACAACAGAACAAGAAAGGCATATAAAAATGCTAAATAATGACTTTAAGAGAACAGCATTTCAGCAGGAAGAGAGTCTGAAAATAGAAAATACCTTACAAAAATTCAGGACCACGTGGCAAATGTTTTGTTTTGTACCAGCAGCCAGGTACAAGGAATGAATTAATGGTTACAGAATACCATCACAGTTACAGGATACTACTGGAATATGGCACTGGGTTCTGTGAATCATCCTTCAGCAGAAAGTGAGATGGCCTTGGATTAGGTCCCTGAGGCTTCACTTATTCCTAGAGGGATGACTGCAAGTCATCTGGAAGAGTGCAGTGCCAAGGCAGTTAGGGCTGTTCTCACTGTGTAGAACCAGAGAGGGAGGGATCACAGGGGTCACGTAGCTGCTTTATCTCCCTTGATCCTAATAGATCCAGCTATTTTGTGAAGTTGGAAGGAATTAACAGATAATTCAGGTTCATCACTTGAGACATATAACGTGCTCCTTCACACAGCATGAAATTCTGTTTGTTATTCGCTATTGCTATGTATACATATTCCTGCATACGTTACTGCAGCACGTAGTGATTTTGGTGGGATGCATCTGAGACCACAGAGACCCAAGAAGCTGATTTACATTTCTTTGAAGGACTTTCAGACCCTGTCCTTTCCCACCTGCCCCCATTTCCACTAACACAAGATTCTACTTTTAACAAATAGTAACTGTAATTTATTTTTATGTAAAAGAAATTTTAATGTCTTGTTTTTTCTATTCTTATTTTCCATTGAACTAGCTGCTACTGGCCTAAGGTTTGTTTTAATTAAAGAGGGCTTCTGTCACATATTGTACTTCATACATTTAGTAAGCCTAGTGCTCATTATATATTGAAATGGAAATAGGAAATTTTATAATTTCTTTCAGTTTTACATAGAGCCAGGCCTGAAGTCTATCAGTGCTGAAGATAATGGTCTGCTCCAGCCTGCATGGCAGATTGGAAGTACTACTAATTGAGGTTATCACTATAGCAGTGCTACCATCTGTGGTTCTCGAGTCCCATGTGGCTCTTGAGCAGTTCAGTGTTTATTCCCTGCAGCAGCCATATCAGAGCTGCACTCAGGGATCACTGTCTATCCAGGTCCTCACTGCGTGTGAGGAGGGAATAAGTTTTAATTGAAGCAACAAGCAAATTCTGCTGAGGCCAGAAGCACTGGGTTGTCCTTGGTGCCAGGTACCCAGTTTAATTCCATTCTAATTATCAGGGTGTTGTGGGATCCTGGAGGAACCATTGGAGTCTCCCATTTTTGAATCAATCCAAAATGTTCACTTTGTATGGTAAGCTCTCTAAAAATGGATAACATTTTGCTTCATTTAGTTTCACTTCATCCTTGTACAATTTTCATTTTGATTATTTCAATCGCCCTTGATTTAAGGTGTCTTTTCTTTGGAGTTTACTGTTGTTAACTGTCCAGTCTCTTTGTATCCCTCTCCCTCACCTCTCCTCTTTCCTTTCTCCTCATTCTTTCTTCTTCTTCCTCTCCTTTTTTTTCCTATTCATTCTCTAGCTTTTGAGAAGCATCAGCGTTCCTTTTTAGTGCACTCTCTTGGCCTCAGTACTTTTCGTCATATGGAAGAAGTAAAACATGCAGTATGATCCTGTTGTTCCAATTATTTATTACTGTGATGATAATGCTTGTGCTTGGAGTTTCTTTTTGCTATACTAGGTGCAAAGTGCGTTTTGTGGTTTCAATGACAAGCACAAACTTTGCAGAGGGTGCAGTTGTAACTAAGAACATATAAATTGATATCTATCCCCTTTTCCTTCAGATTTTCATGTGGAAAAGCAGAATTTTGGAGCAAGAATAAACTGTGATTCTACCTCATCTGTGTTTATTCAAGGTTAAATGCCATATTATAAACTGCATTTATAATTTTTACATCAAATGATTATTACCACTGAATTCTAGTTTTTGTTTTAGTTGTTGTCTTACACTGGAATCGTTTCCCCTTTGGTTATAAATAATAGAAGTATTCTGAACAGCCCAAAGACTGGATAAGCAGAGTGAGGCTTGGGAAAGCCAAAGCTTGGCTCTATGCTGGAAGTTATGTGTTTCTCCTCTTCTTACTTTTCAAGTCATCTGCACTGCCTCAAGTCTAATTAATCAGCCATTATGTGGGTGAAGTTATTTCTACACAAACTGCAGAGATATCCACAAAGGTCTGTTCTTGCCAAGTTACAGGAAGCATTACTCCTGCAGAAGCCTGAGTCTGGCTACCTCCCAAGTACCTAGACTAAAAAAGAAATAGCAGCTGTTATTATTATTTTAATTACAGAACTGAGAGACTCAGGCCAGTAGGAGAAGAGACAGAAGCAGTGGTAGGAAATGTGGTTTGTATTTTTTTTTTTTTAACATAAGCAAGATACAGAATCACAGAATCATGAATGGCCAGGGTTGGAAGGGACCTCAAGGATCACGAATCTCCCACCCCCCTGCCACATGCAGGGCCACCAACCTCCACATTTAATACCAGACCAGGCTGCCCAGGGCCCCAATCAATCTTGCCTTGAACACCTCCAGGGAAGATAAAAACAACTACAGGGAAATGAAGAAAAACTTTTTCCTTATCCTACTTGTACAATAGTGCACACATGGCCTAATTTTTTTCTCTGCACATCCCTGTGATTTTACACTCACAAGTATTGTGTGCTGAACAGATACGCATAAGTGGTTCTGTTTGTGTTGTATGTACATAAGCATTAGGTCTTTCATGTAGCATATGTTATATTGCATTACCTTGCAGTTAATCTGTAGTGGTGCAAAAGTAGACTGCAGTTTGAACTGTACAGATGGTTGTATCAACAGGGGAGCTTTCAGTCTTAGCACTGATTCCTTTGTCTGCAAGCTCAATGAATGCTGCATCTGTACTGACCCTGCATTTACACATTCCCAAGGCAGGGCCTTCCCTTTGGCCAAGGAGCTGTGCTTATCCTCATAATTACTCTTGCATTTAACATAGCTAATGTTTTTTAGTGGGTAGAGATAGCCATGTGCAGGGGTTACAACAGTGAGCTGTGAGAAATGCAAGCTTTGGTGT